AGATCAATTTGATATCTTGCACCAATCTCACTCAATTTATCTTCAGTTAAACGTCTAAATTCAGGGACAAATACAAAATCATCATCAGCTGCTGAAATCAATATTGGTTTAGCAATTTCTGCAATATCTTGAATATCCAATAATGAAGGATGAGCAATTGCACAGGCATCTGCTAATAAATTACCTCCTTTAATACATTCAACAGCAAATTTGGCTCCAAAACAGTAACCAAGCACTCCTAAAAACTTTGGATTATATGCCTTTTTCAATGCATAAACATATTTCTCACACAATATCTTGGTTTTATTTACACCATGACAAGCAAGAAAGGCAGGGACTTCCTCAGGTTTAATTTCAGTCTTTCCACCTTCTCCTCCAAAAGGGTCATTAAATAAAATATCTGGAATAAATACTTTAAACCCAGCTTCTGCCAATTGGTCAGCTACTAATAAAGTATTGTTATACTTATGGCCATAAATATCAGTAAATAGGACAATTACTCTATCATTAGGTGAACTTGTACCAGTAACATAGGTATCCACAGAAAAAAGTTCTTCATGTTTACCCTTTGGAGTACCTTGATGATCAAAAGTTGTAAAACAACAAGTTCCTGGTTTAATTGATGTCACTGCCATAATTTTATTCAATTTACAAGATTGCAATTCTTCTTGTTCTGACTATTTCAATAGAGAAGTATGTAATTATTCCAATACGTCATAAAACACAATTCAAGAAATAACACAATTTATTCAATGCATCAACCCATATCCTTATATACAATTTTCTAACTATAGCAAATTATACAAAAAAGGTAAAATAACTCAAATAACCGTTTATTACAAATACGAATAGCAACATTGGTGATATTGCCAATGCATTCCCTCCCTCCCAATGCATTTCGTAAAAAATCCCTTGAATTTCCAACCATGCTAGTCTTCGAATTCCTTAGCTTTAAAAAGCCCAATTGGACGACTCCTTAAAGTTGAGGTTACTTCAAACTTTTATCTTTTATTTGAATCGTATTAGCGTTGGGTTGGTTAATCTAATTACACCGAGAAGTATCATTAATAATATTAAATTAGCCATAATACTTTTCATTGACAAGCAGTTGCTGTGAGTGTTCATAAATATTTGAAACGATCAATTGAAAATTGATAATTGAAATCTAAGCAACTTAACCAACAGTTAACAAAAATGTAAACCATCTTAATTGCTTTCCTTGATTAGTAAGGCTCGAATTTTAATTTGTAATTAATAAACGGTTTCGAGTTATTTCCCTAAAGGGCAAAATAGCCTTTAGTTGGTAATGAAATTTATTCAAAGAGGGTTCCTGAAGGTCATTTTCAGACTTGGTATATAAAATAGTATATTTACAGTATTGTCATTAATAATACATACCCACACACACACACACACACATATATATATATATCAATTGAGTAAATTGCAGGATTTATAGAATGAACAGGGTTATTTTTATGATTCTTACTTTTTTGACACATCTAATTAGTCAGTTGTACTTGGATCGAAATACTTTCACAAAAGTGTATGATAGCAATGCTACAAATCCCGCTGTAGAACATAGCATTATCACAGTTTGTTTGTAATCTTCATTTTCGAATTTCGATTCCAATGGGAGACCAACCGTACTATCTCCAGGCACCAAAGCAACTTCAGTGATTTTAACGAATAATTCGTTTAATGAACTTAGCCATGTAGAGGAAACATGTAGTGGATGATCGATCAATAGTGATTCAGAGAAATCATCCGGTTGAACTTGACATCTTTGTTGTTGTTTATCTAGATCCGCTTTTAAGGCTACAAAAATCAGAGGTAATCCTTCTATTCTTTCTCTATGCTTGTTGAATAGCTCCACAATATAAGAAAACGATTCAGGATCACTCGAATCATATGCAAAGCAGAGCACATCACACTCTTTTAACTTATCCCTGTTTTCTAACGTTACGAATTCTTGGCTTCCAAATTCTTGCAATATTAAGTAATATTGTCTTCCACCTTTAAGTTCTAAATTATTTACTGCTATTCTTGGTCTAATTGTAGGTGAATAAGCTTCTGAAAATGGTCTTCCAAGAAATGATTCTAATAATGAACTCTTCCCGCTATTTGGCTTTCCAAAGATGAAACAATTGAACACTTTACGATCTGTCACCGGGGATCTGTAAAATCTTCCATTTCTCCTCCTCATTTTCCTCGATTTAGTTATTTGAAGTGCAAGTTGAGCATCCTCTTGGAATCCAAAATATACTAAATATGCAGTTGTTATTTTATAATCAAGGAATGTAGTCATACTCCATTGGGCCAGCCATCCTTGTAATGTTATACAACCACGTTCATTAACCACTGTTGCATATGGGAAATTGGTAGCGGACCAGAGGTGGGGCAGACCTGGAGTACATTTAAAGAGTGCTCTCAACTCTTCCTCACTTAAACCACCATCGTTATCCTTGTCAAACTTTAGAAATAAATTAACAAAGAATCGATAGCCTTTAGGACTCAATTCCACACTTGCACTATCTGAAACGTTTAATTTAGGATATAAAACCTTTGCCTTAATGGATAAAGAATCAGTGTAATGGAATGCTCTTAATATCCCCCATGTAGTTTCATGTCTCCCTCTTTCTGCATATATTTTGTTCAATAGCAAGAAACCATCAACGGTCATACCTTTCCCCGGTTCATAATAGGCACCTGAGGAACCATCTATTTCTGAGTAAGAAACATCTTCTAAAAGTTCTCTTATATTGGCAAGTTCATTAACATCAATACTTTTCTTAAAACATTTTTTTTGTAATGCTAGTATTTCTGGATCACTCAAATATCCATCTTGATCTTCATCACTCAGTAAAAATATTCTTTTTAAAGCTAGAATTGCCAATGGCTTAAGTTCACCCACCCTTGAATCAAACAATGGGGCAACTGGATGACTTATTGATCTTTGACAAAGATAAAATGCCTGATTGATATTGAATTGAGTTCTAGATGAAACCTTGATACAGACATCTACCTCTTTAAATTCCATTAATATTGGAATAAATTCCTGGTCTTCGACTTTTGTATCTTCAGATAATAAATTGACAGTTGAATCATCGTAATTATCACATTTAGTCTTTGCCAAAACAACAGGTAAATTTAAACCCAAAGATCTAAACATCATCATCCAATATAAAGAAACTCTTTCGTAAGAATCATGATCACAGTACAATAACCAAATGACATCTGCTGTTTTCAATTCCTTATGTAGTGTAGTTACATCCTCATTGCTAGTATCAATCAATATCGTATTTTTAGGAGAATAAGGACTCGATGAATAATCCTTGGGTATACTAATTGGTGGTAATTTATCCTGTACATTTGGTATATATTTACCCTTGACGAGAGAAGCTATCAAGCTCGACTTCCCTACACCTGTATCACCGCAAATGACTACCCTAATAGTTTCCTTTGGCATCAATCACTCTAGTTACTTGAATATATATGTATCCATATAAAAGATAGAATAAATAATATCACTAAGTTTATAACATTTCAATTCACACTTGAAGACCTTGTTAGATATCTTACATCTTATTACTTTCTATTAAAGGTTCTGGTTCTTATTCATCATCCTATTGAAATTTTCGTTTTATCCGAGAGTTGAGATATCAGGTCTTAGACCAGAATGATCAAGTGACAGAGAGGAACAAAATGCATATATATATATATATATATATATAAATATATCTTATGAATTATAACTAACAATATTGATTATTTAGCAAGAATATTAAAATCATTTTAATTGGTATTTATTATTAATTTGAATTATTAAGTTCAATTTAAAGATGCTGATAATAAATTATGATACAAAATTCAATAAAAAATTATATTAATTTTTCATTCTATATGATAAAGTTTAAGATTTCATTGAAGCATTAAAAAGCCTTTCTCGTAACATTTCATTCTCTTTTTCCAACTTTTGTATCCTTTCTTCAGATGCATTGCTATCTAATTTTCTTCTTTCTCTCTCTGATATCCATTTCCTTTCTAGTTCTTCTACTCGTAGTTCTAGAGCTTTGTTAACTTCGATATATTTGTTACCACCTTCATAGTTCTCATTTTCGGATAATAGTAGTGCCATATATGATTCAACAACAGACTCTAGTGCTGTTTCAATGAAATTATACAGAGATTCTAATCTTGGTTGGATTAGTTTAATCTTGGCAAGTCCACTTATTTTATAAATATTTTGTAGCTTTTTCTCAGATTGGTTGATCGAGCTTTCTTGTAATATCTTACTGAAAGTCTCCAATAAATTACTCATGTGTAATAGTAAATGTTCTTTAAAATTATTAAATTCAGAATCAAATTTCTGTATGTTTATAGAATTAGATTTTGCATCATTCGCAATTTCTTGCCATTTTTTAACTTCTTTTTCTAATAATCGTATCTCTGCTATTAGTTTATCATGTTCGGAATTTGATTCTTTGTGCCTTATATCCATTATATTATATTTCCTTTCCATGCTATGCAATTGGTTTTCTAATTGTGAGATTGCGTCGTCGCTTTCTCTTTTTGTAATCTCGATATCTACATTCAATTGTTCAATTATATTAAGTAATTTCTTTTTTGCTATCTCTAATTCATTAATATCAGTTTCCAATTCATCTGCAAGGTTTTCCCAATTTTTTTCCTTAATTTTGCCTAACTTTATTTCTTCATCCAATTCTTTTCGTAACTTATTCTCAATTGATGTGACTTCTTGAAAGTTTTCTATTTTATATTTCAATTCTGTAATCGTTTTATCTTTTTTAAGAATGTCTTCATTAAGCATATCGATTGTCTTGTTTAGTTGTTGTTCACTTTCTTTTAAGAATTTCAAAGATCTATTTTCATCATTACCACGTTGAATTTTAGAGCTTGTATTCTGAGTAGAGTATAGATCCGATATTTTTTGTATTAACTTATTTTGTTCTGAAATTTTTTTCATGAGGGTATCCTCTAATATCGACGATTTATCGACTTTATCTTTCATACCATGAATAAACTTGTCATATTCGTCATGAATATCATTTATTGCCTCTTCTAACCTTGTATCTAAAATCGATTTATCTTCTAAATTAGAAGTTTCAATGGGACTTTTGGCATCATCAATTTTTATCTCAGTACTATTTGCAATCACAAAGGAATCATTTTCTTGTGTTTGATATTCCTTTAAATCGTCTAAAACCCTTCTCATTGTAGATATCAATGCATTCATTTTTACCATTACAAACGAAGATGAAATATCTTTTGCCTTCTGTAGTGCATCTTTTTCTTCTGGCGATATTTTATATAATTTCTCCATCAACATACTCAGCATTTCATCAATATTATTTGAAACTTGCTCTGAATGTTCAATATATTCGTTTACATATTCTAATGTTGCTTGATGGTCCTTTTTAGTATCTGTTAATTCTTTGTTAAGGGTATCTACCTTGGCATGCAATTCATCAACTATCCCTATATTCGATATTTCTAAATCTTCTAATTGTTTTCTAAGTTCTTCAACTTCATCATTCTGTGATATTGTCTTCAATAAATTTTTATAAAACGAATCTCTTTTCCCATCTGGAGATGTATCATCAACGTTACTCAATTGTTTTATGAGTTCAAACAGTGTCCTTATCTTTAATCTATAAGTAGTCACTTGTTTCTGCAATTGTTCAATCTCTAATGATCCAGCTGAAGCAGGTGCTGTAGTTGGTGCACCATCGATGGAGAACAAAGAGTTTATAACAGAAGCCCTTGAATTCGAAGGTGATAAAGTATCCAATTTTGATTTATCGCCGATCTCTTTATAACCTATTCTATTGCCTGCCAAAGATCTCCAGGGAGTCATGGATTCCTGTAATTTTGGGATAGTCAACCCAGAAGAGTCAATTCCGCCATCGGTACCATCTCCATCAATACCATCGTCATTTTCATCATCATCATCATCATCATCATCATCATCAACATCGCCATTTTCAGCACCACGAAGAAGGTTATAGGTATTATTTCTATCATTAAAGACATTATAATCCAATCTACCTCTCCCGTTCCTCAGACCAATCTCATTCTTCATTGATGAAACCTCATTATCAACTGAAGACATACCATCTTTCTTATAACGATTATTATTCTTACGATTTAGATTGCTTAACCCATTAGATAACGGACTTGATCCAACTTCATGCCCATGAGATGAAGATGCTGAATAACTGGTATCACTAGAATAATTCTCCATCAACGTATAACAAACTATTCAATTACCACCGTAAACTATCCAATTATCTACCAACTGAGTTCTCCAAGTCTTCCAAACCTTTTCTAGAGTCCAATATAGCAATCTGATATTTGTTTATGTTTAAATCAATAAAGTTTGATATAATTAAAATTAAAGCTTTAAATTCAATATATTAAGATTAAGTCGACATTAATAATGTTAAAGTATATAAGGGAAATTATATATATGATCTACAACACCTCAAATACGTAGGTTAGACGATATATAATGTTTATTATAAAAGTTATTAAAGAGGGATACAGGAGGTGTTGTTGTTTAGACTGCTTTTATTTACACGATGAGACATCATAACGATTAATAGATAGTGATTCTTAAATTTAAATTAATGAGCTAGCGTATGAAAGGGTATTGCAATGACTTTGTTTTCATAATATGTATCGTATTTATTTACTTAGATTTTGTTTTCAATTGCAACCCATGCCATTGAGAAATATCATCTCTTAAAATTTCATTCACAAGTTTATGTTGCTTAATCATCGACAAACCTTTAAATTTGTCACTAGTAACATCAATAGCAAACATAGACCCACATCCACCAGATATATCTTGAACTCTTAAATTAGAAGGATTCAATTCTTTTGACAGTTTTTCAAATACCAATTTCTCTTGTGTTGTTTGGGAGTACCATACTCTCTTGCCAATAATACTATTAATACTCGACTGAATGAGTCTGCTACGTCTTGCTAACATTATATTTGAATCTTCCAAGGGAATGCCCTTACTTTACTCACCGAATCCTTAGTTTGAATGGCGTTGCAACCTTATCCACTTCTTGTATATCGTTTAACAAGTTCATATATGTGATTTATTCAATTCGAACCTAAGATAAATTTTAATCGATGCAAGCGTTTTCCATCAAACTGTTTAAAGTGTCTAATGTGTCCAATAGGACAGATAGATAGATATATAAATGTATTAGGTATGATATTAAATGAGGCATAGTATGATCTGCTAACAAGACTACATATTGTTCATTGGATTCCTGTTAGCATACATATACAGATACATATACATATACTAGGAGTCATCTAGGCTTTATAGTTGTAATGAGACAACCTTTGATCAGAAATATTATTAGAATGATGAGTGATAGTGTTCCAGCAAATAAAAGTATAGAGGGTCCAATAGCTAAGGCTATTAGTAGTAAAATTAATGGAAACTTCAACGAATTAACCAAATTTGAGATATACAATGATTCGTATAAACATGCAGGTCATCATGGCATGTCTGAGAGTGATAATGTCACAGAATCACATTTTAGAATTGAATTGGTTACTGATGAATTTAAGGGAATTCCATTACCCAAAAGACATCGTATTATATTTGATTTGTTATCCAATGAAATGGACAAGATACATGCTTTACAGATCAAGGCAAGGTCTCAGGATGAAGAAGCCAGAATACTTGCTAAGTCAAAATGAGTGTGGATTAAGGGATAAGATCAACTTTATTCATTGCATCACACTTTCTATTTATTTATTTGTTAATAGTTTACATAAGTCAACCAGTACATACGTCTTATTTAAGAATACATTTCAATGTTTTATGAAAGGGGGAGTTCCTCTAATGAACCTTGCAAAAATAGAGTAACAGTTTCAATACAAATATCCATAAATTACTTGTTTGACTATTCTCGATCATTAGTGATATACATGTCAACTATTATGTAGATGCTGAACTAAATCTAATGGAAGAATATTAAGAAGAAATAGGAAACTGAGGTAAACAATGGTTCTTCGTTTACAGACAGGAGCCATAAAGCAAATATAGGGAATAGATATATTAAACCATGACGTAACATAAGTGTCTAATGCCTCAAGTGGTATGATTTATATATGCCTACATATTTACAAAAATCCAGACGTGAGGCTGAACCAAATGAAATTAAATATTTGCCATGATACGATGAAACTGAGATCAATTGTCGAATGGCTGTAGCATAGTAATTCAACTAAATGTATTATAATAATAACGTCATTGTTTTAGTTTTAACGAAATCATATATGTGTACTTAACAGGCGCAATCATTGCTTCCAAGTAATATTTTCATGGTGATCAAGACAGGTTTCCTGATTGTTTGGGCATCCAACATTTTATTTTGGAAGGATGATAATGACATGGTAATTGTTTTAAACTATTCGATACAGCTTGTCCATGTGTATGTGTATGTATGTATGAACAAGAGAACAAAGTTTATAAATAGAATGAATCAAGATCTAGCAAGCAGAATTAGGTCTAGTTAACCTTAAGAAATACGATAAGATAAGATAACAGATCACCGATTACGAAATAAATGACAAGTTTTCTGATTTCCTAGGCGTGTCAATTCATGCGAGTTAACAAATCCCCGCAAGAATAGCGATGACGTATTGTTTGATATAAGTCAAGATCTGGAATGGAACGGAATGGAATAGATCAGAGCAGAACAGAGCAAAAGATATTTCCATAAGGTACATATCCTTACATCTGAAAGTCAATGTATTGAAGTTAATGGGATATATTCTCTAATAAGCTAGAAATTGTAAAACCGACACCTGTTAAAATGCTGAATTCAGATGATTATTTCAGAAACGTTCATTCAAGATGAACTGTATTTCCAGAGGCGCAATTAATGTATCATTACTAATATGATAACACTTTTTAAAAAGATTCCATTTTGTACCAAACTAGATAAATATGATAATATGTCTTATCCCTAAAAGGGAAACAAAGTTAGTGGCCTTCGCTTTTTAGACTCGATGAACAGTTTGTTAAGAAGAAGAAAAAAAAAGAAAAGACCAAAATTCATTTCAATTGAAAGCAAAAAATAGTCGAAGTTCTGTTCACTGACTGTGTCAATTACAATCTCTCCTTTTTCCATTTACAATGAGATATCCAAATATACCCAATTACGTTAACTAGTCCTCTCTTGCCCTCAGCACCACTTCACGTGGCACTAAACAGGTTATGGTCTCCCAAAACGTCTAGTCCACTTCGTTCCCTCATCCTGGCCTTCGCAGATAAATTTATCAATTGGAATATTATAAAACATTGAACGAGCAGCCTGTCCAGTTAGAGACATTTGGTAAGCCTATACCACCATCACCACAATTCCTATTTCGATTTCCGGCAATGGCAATGGCAATGGCAGCGGTAGTAGTGAAAGGGTCATTTGCAAATTTAAAACATAAATACATACAAACTCATACATTAGGTTGTCCCCAAACCCGTCATTTTCATACTTTTTTGGGACACCTCTTCTTAACTATCCTTGTATTGTAGCCATTGGCATTAGCCCACTAGAACTAACTTTAGTATTAACTTTTCCCTGTATGTAGCATTTAGCATTTAGCATTTAGCATCTTCACTCTTCTTTGTATCCTATAAAATAATAAATGAAAAAGAAAAGAGAACGTCATCGATTCTTTTTCTTGCAGTTCACATACATTGCGTCTTTGTTAGTACATCGGTTTCTTACAAGAATCGTTTCTTTTCACCAAAAGAAACGATTGGCCCAAATTCCCCTCCCACCATTTTTGAGAAAATTGACCAGTTCAGGTCGAGCTTTTACAGATACATACCATGCATACTTGAACCGTAAACCAGTTTCATTGGTAAATAATGCAAAACAAGAGACAGATAGAGAGACAGACAGACAGACAAATAGACAGGCGGACAGCTCTTTCTAGCTACAAGGACATCTGCTGCACACGTTCAATGATGTCTGACAGTCCCATTCATTCATTCATTCATCATCCATCTTTGTTGCTACTTGTCTAATAAACTGGTTAATTTTAGAAATAGCTAAATTCGTACTACTTGCGATGGGTTGTCTGATCAGTAACCGAAGTTCCAGCAATAAACCAGTCATTGCCTCAAGCGTTGGTATGCACCTATACGCTGCTGTCTGAAGGGGAGGACTTTGTTCAAAAAAGATCTCATTGAGATGAAAGGAAAGGAAGGGAAAGGAAGGGAAAGGAAAGGAAAGGATAAGAAGCTATGTGCGGTGCATTACATTCGGGCAGGTAAGTAAGTGCTGCTTGCTTGGCGGGTGAATTGATTCGTAGTTTCATTTGCCTATAGAATTCGATAGAAAATGCCTGTAAGAGAGCAGGAATTTGAAATTAGAGCAGAGCAGAGAAGAGTAGAGTAGAGTGTATGAGGGAAAATCCGGAACCACCACGTAAATTGTAATGCAATTTACATTCAAGACAATGTGATAATAGTTGATTTCCGTTAATTAAGTATCTGGTTCCCATTTAATTAACTCTCCTCAAGAAGGTAATGAAGTCCATGGCAATTATCTAAATTGAATTATCCAGAAACAAGATATTATGAAAAAAAATTCCAAAGCTAAGACACAATACAATACAACACACTGTAATTCATACACAGCTTTAAATGAATAGAGTTGCTGTTGTTGTTTTAAAATATCAATCAGACGAAGGAATGTCTTGGTAAATGAATGGATGGACTAGCTAAATTTATTTTATATTTAAATAACAATCATTTATCCATCAAATAAGTGTAACAAAATATCATCATTCTTTGTAGTATATCCCATACCTTATTGTAATTCACTTTAATGTAATTTACTGTAATTCCAATTGCAAAATTAGAATATATCTCTGATACCCGTGTCTAGGTTCGGTTCTTTTGCCCTTTGCCTTTTTCCGTCTTCCTCCCGTTTTTCTCCCTCTCCCCATAGAAAAGGGTTTCTGCACACACTAATAACCGAACTCGAACTCGAACTCGAACTCGAACTTGAGCTTGGACAAGGAAACACAACAAGATACCGACAGTTACAGCCCTTCATCCATAAGGTTGTACAGTTCTAAAGACAAGATTTATATTATAATAGTGTGTTTGTTTGCTTGCGTGTTTAGTGGTTCTGTTTTTTTTTATTACTACTTTCCCTTTCACACATCAACTACAGTTTACTAGCACTGACAGGTTAGTTACCGGGTTAATAGAGAGACAGTCAGCTAGAAAGTATACCTTTATACGAGAATCTAGCTTCTTTTCTTTTTTTTCAATATATATATATATATATATATATATATATATATACAAACACACTCGCACACAGATACACACACATACTACCGAAATTGTTCACTGTCTGTACGTGTGTCTCTTCTCTCTCTTTCTGCCTTTCCCCCCCAAATACCAACAAAACACCAACCAATCCGTTTCGAAACTACCACCGCAAGAGCAGTCGCTAGAAATAAGAAACGACATTGCTGTTAGTCTCTATCTCTTCCTCTCTCTTCCTCGGTTCGAACATCACCACAACACTTAGTGATCACACATACACTGCTTGTGCCATACGGTTATAGAGGCAACAACGACCAAGTGCAAGTAAGAACACACAGATTCTTAATACTTGGACAAACAGTTACTTTACTTTGCTTTACTTTGCTTTACTTTGCTTTCCTTCCCCTTCACTTTCTCTTCTTACTAATTGAAGAAAAATATTATATCCCATATAATTTGCTGCATAAGAGAGCCCAGCGTTGCAATTTAGTTCACTCAATCAGTTTTTTCAGATTGAACCAACTCTATCTATCATTCACTCTCTGTGCTAAAAACTCGTCTATAGATCGATTGATTGATCGATTGATTGATTGATTAATTGATTGATTGATTGATTGATTGATTGATTTTGAACCCTCTCTCTAGTTACAACAGATTCTGTTCAATTTCGAAATTTCGAATTTTTATACTGACAAATTTATCAGCTATTCACCAATTCTTCCTCTTTATTTTTTTTATTTTTAAATTTGTTCTGATTTTATATTTGTTTTGTCAAACTTCATTTCATTTTAATTCACTCTGTTCTGTTCGGTTCTATTCCATTTCATACCACTTGAATTAAAATTTAGTTTGAACTGACTTTAGTACACTTAAATTTCATTTCATTTTATTGTGTTTCGTTTTGTTTCGTTTCGTTTCGTTTTGTTGGTACCAATTAGAAATACACTGGTTCCTATAAATCATAACTGCGATACAATAATTTCTTTGATTTTGAAAGATTAATCACCATTTTCACTGCTGATAAAGTATTATTAGGGATTGTTTAGCCAAGAGTTATATAACTATTCATACCAATTCCAACTACACCAATCATCACAAGTCGAAATTAATTCATCAAGAGTTTGAGATATAGCCATACTAAACACCGTTTTCTAAACTGCTTCCCCCCCCTTCACCACTTCATATCTAGCATCCCCCCCATATCAAACAATAAGTAAATTGACGAATTGTTATTTACACAATACTAATAACAACCCCATTCTTCAATCCATCAATAGTCTAGACCATCTTGGAATCTTTTTGATCTAGTATTCTTCTGCTACTTATATTTTTCGTTACGGGAAAAATTTTGAGTTTAGGTTCAAATTTTAGAAATACAGCACAATAAAAGATCAATATTTGTTATCAACATCAATTGAATACTATCTTTTACTTTAAGTCTCTATCTCGCTCCTATCAGTTACAAAGGCACACCTTTTTGTTTTTGTTCTATTAACTTATCGTTATCACAGCTAAAGTCTACAATCTACTACAATGTCAAATTTATTCTTTGTCGGTAATTTAGATATAGAATTGGCCAAAGAGCGTGTGAAATTTGACTTGTTCGATAGAATTATTCAATTGAATGATTTCGATGAACTTTTCAGACGCATCTGCGAGGATAGGTTAGTCCCAGATATTAAATTATCTTATGAAACTGGTATTTCTTTAGCTATCTTTGATCCAAAAAAATTAAACAACGTCACTTCAAAAGAATTAAATGATATATTTAGAAGGTTTTTACCAACTTTTAATATTGTCGCAGTTGATTTCGATTGCTTCATTGAAAATAAAAACTTTATCAACAATATCTTCAATAGTATTAAAGTTTGCAACAATAGGATTTTAAGATCTAGCAATTGGATGTACCATGATTCAAATGCAGATGAAAATTCAGAAAAAATAAATAATGACCATAACAGCAACCATGATGAACACAGTAACGACTTCAATTCTTGCTCTTCAAATATTTATTCAATGATGTGTCACTTTAGACTGTCTTCCATGAATGCAATCGAACAAAAGAAGAGAAGAACTCCAATCCCAAGATTCATTAGAAATATAGATTTCAAATCTTTATTGAAGGTACCCAAAGACGATGATTATTATCTAGATCTATTCGCTACTTGGAAATTTTCAGCAAACTCTTTAAATAACCAAGAATTGATTTATTGTTCATTTTTATTGATTAAAAAACTATCAACCGAAAGCAATATACCCATTTCAGATAACAAATTATTATTACTTTTGTTCTCTTTAGAAGCATCATATCATCAAGTTAATAAATTCCATAATTTCAGGCATGCAGTAGATGTCATGCAAGCCACCTATCAACTCTGTGATAAACTATTAACCAAAGATGATCATATTTACAAATTATTACTTTGTATGGCTGCTATCGGTCATGATATAGCTCATCCAGGTACAAATAACAATCTATTAGTAAATTACAAATCAAGCGTAGCATTGCATTTTGATAATGAATCTGTATTAGAAAATTTCCATCAAGTTTTATTCCAGCAATTACTATTTGATCAGTGGCCATCATTAATTGATATAGTTACCCAATGCGAGAAAAGGGATAAATTTAATATAATCAAAGATTCAATACTTGCTACAGATATGGCTATTCACAGTCGTTACGTTAAACAACTAAATCCTGAAGAAGACTTCAGAATCAATAATTTAATTTCATTCATTATAAAAGCTGCTGATATCTCAAACGTAACAAGACCATTGCATGTATCAGCTCAATGGGCGTTATTAATATCTTTGGAATTTGAAGATTGTGCATTGTTAGAGACTTATGAAAAAACAAATACTACGTCTTGTATTGATGGTGATGAAAATATAAAAGATGATGATCTATTATTGTCTCCAGATGATTTGGTGAAAAAATATCCTTCTTTGCCAAACGGTCAACTTTTCTTTATCAATACTTTTGCTGAAGAATTTTTTAATAAATTAAGTTTAAGTTTCCCAAGTTTGCAATATCTTTCGGATAATATTCAAACGAATAAGGCATACTGGCTTGACAAAAAAAGTAAATAAGTCGAAATAAAAGTTTTAAATTGAAGTGATTTTAAAAAATTCAGGTTTCATATTTAATATTTGAATTCTCTTTCAAACTACAAAATTAAGAAAGGGAAAAGAATTCTTATTTGAGTACAAAAAGTTGAATTAAATTATAATACATATACATCTATCATTATTATATAGAACACTAGTCATTTACATAATTAATCGCATTTCTAACAAAAATCATATTTAAGAAACAACAGCTTTCTATTTATTTTCTACAGTATCTTCTATGACAATTGAAGCTTCATCAATTAAACCACGCTCTTTATAATCTATTACAATTGCAAATGCTTTCAATAGTTTGCGACGTGCACCCAAAGCGGTGACACCTAAAACTTCAAGCTTACCATCATCTAGATAAATTAACTCAACCCAATTTTTACCCTTTAGCGCTTCAGAATATTTATGTAATCTCAATGATTTTAACCAAGCTGGGATATTAGATAATAATTTTGGGTCGGTTAAACTCTTTGGGTTCATAGATGATGAGCTGCTAGTAGGGTTATTGCCATTGGAAGTTTGGTTTGTTGGAGTAGTGCTATTTGAAATAGATGAATCACTGCTACCATTAATGCTATTGTTGTTAATGTTAATGTTAATGTTTGAATTGTTGTTATTATGACGTTGACGATTATGCATATTAGTGTTATTTTGATTGAATTGTCCATTTGAAATTTTACTTTCGTAATCGTTTACAGATCTACCTCTTGACATACCCTTGGATTGCAAATGAGAAGATTGATAGTATTGCTTTTTAGAAACTGGGAATTGGCTGTTACCACCATTATTATTGTTATTATTATTACTATTAATAATGCCACTGTGGCTATTGTTATTATTACCGCCATTTAAAGTCTTGATAACGTGTGGATCAACAGATTTTGGTCTTTGTTGAAATTCTGTCAAATAATTCATCATTGGTTGATTGTTGCCCCAAGTTCTATAAATTGAGCTGTTTGAATCATGCATACTTGAACTATATTGATGATTTCTTAAGTTTGAATTTGTTTCATTTTCGGCAAATACAAAATCCAAGCTAGTCAATGGATAATTTGTATCTCTTGATACAGGGATGGGTGAAGAAACACGAGTCAATTGTGGAGACGAAGTGAAACCACTATTCAACAGACTATCTAATTTTAATCTTGTCATTTGCAATACATCTTCGTTGAAATGAGGTAGTAGATTATCGATAACTGTATTTTGTAAAGAACTTGATAGAGTTGACATCCAAGAACAAATTTGAGTGATGTCCTGATTGAAATTTATCATCACACTTGGATCTAAATGTTGTACCTGATGCTGAGACAAAGACATAGGAGTATGTGAAATATTTGACAAATTTGGATGTTGCTGAGGAACTGGACTTTGGAAAGAATCTAAGAACATTGAGGAAGGAGTAGGAGAAAGAAGAGCAGCAGATCCTGCTGCTGAAGACGATGAATGATTATGACTATTATTGTTGTTGCTATTATTATTATTGCTAATTGAATTATGACTATTGTTATTGTTGCTGTTGCCGTTACTTGTATTGCTATGATGGTGAGGGTGATGGTGATGATGATGTTGATGATTATTATTGTTATTATTATTTGTGCTATTGTTATCTAATAAAAGTGAATTTTGATCGTTCAAACTCAATGGGGTGCCGTAGGAAGGTAAAGGAGATGATTGCATAATCGAAGCAGAACCTATTTGATTGTTCGGTTGAATAAGATTTGATTCAGAAGATAAAAAAACGGCACCAGGATGAGCAGTTCGACCTATACTAAATGGAGATTGCGTCCTTGTGGGGAAATCTTCAAACCCACTCTTCATATTAATAACAGTGAATTAAGTCAAGCCTTTTCTTTTTAAGTTTCTATTAAATTCCTTTGTTCCAGTTCTTAATTAGTTTCCTCTATTCAAAATATATTGCTAAGAATTAGTGGTATAGCTGGGATATATTACAGCCAAAAGGGACGGGATTACTAAAAACCAAACACACCTGTCTAATTACACTAACTATACAGTTATAACAAATTAAAACTGGCTAATGATATACACACACTCACACATTCACAGTGTTATATATATATATAAATATATAAATATATATAACTCTTGTAGTTAAACTTTTCAACTATTAAATATCATCACTGTTTTAAGTATGAGAACTCTTTCTTTTGTTAAAAGTGAAAAATTTTGAGATGAGGTTACTAACTACGAGAGAGAGAGAGACGACGAGTGATAAAAGAGAAATGAAGACAACTTAACTTGGTGGGTTGGGTTGCCAGTATAAGTGAGAGTGAGAAGATAGAAATGGTAAGAAGGTGGGACGG